CCTTCCCACCCCCAAACTCCCTCTTGTACCCTCACCCCAAACCCTCTCCTGCTGGCAAACTCCACTCCAGACCCTGCCCTCCTCACCCCCTCCTGCACTCCACCTCACCCCCAGATCCTGCACCCCCATCCCTCTCGAGGGCATCCCTGTCCCGCACACAACCCCTTTTTTTGACCCCACTTCAGAGACTAAGGGGGCCCCAAAATCCACTAACCCTGGAACCCCAGAAAAGTCAATCTGGCCTATGGGAGCTGGCAAACTCCACTCCAGACCCTGCCCTCCTCACCCCCTCCTGCACTCCACCTCACCCCCAGATCCTGCACCCCCATCCCTCTCGAGGGCATCCCTGTCCCGCACACAACCCCTTTTTTTGACCCCACTTCAGAGACTAAGGGGGCCCCAAAATCCACTAACCCTGGAACCCCAGAAAAGTCAATCTGGCCTATGGGAAGCCCTGAACCGGAGTCCGCCCTGTCCCCTCCCCTCGCCCTGTGGGGCTGGAGTGCCAGAGGAGTGAGGTGTCTCAGTTGGGGGCCACAAGTGAGAGCTGGGGGGGTTGGGAAGAGTTTTTTGCTTCTCTTTTGTGTGGCCCCCAACTGATTTTTCTGTGGGTCAGAGGCCCCCGACCCAAAATAGGTTCCTTTCCCCTGCCATAAACGAAGAAAACATGGGAACCTTTTGTGCTGGACATCTATTAATATTTTACTTTATTTAAAACAAAGCCTGATAAACTAACAGGAGAAAGTTAAGAGGCTTCATCTCTTTCCTAATTTAAATTAAACCGTTTTCCCCAGCTGCAGCCCTAGCAAAATAGCTCAGCCGTAATTACGCAATTAACGGCACGTTTCCATTAGCCACTGGTGGTCCATGCCAAGCTTTGCATTGAGCCAGCCAAAACGTTTGAGAACCTCTGGATGTGCCGGGGGGAAGAAAACGTGTCACTCCTCACTTGGCTCTCATGTTGAGGGGAACACGTGGGCATAGCTGGACATAGGTAACAGCACGTCAGCCAAGAGGGACAGGCCTCTAATTAAACATTGCAATTAACACGTGCCCAGCCCTGCACGTGCTCAGCAAGGAGCCGATGTGCTGGCATTGCATCAGGGCACTGGCATTGAGCAATAACCCAAATTCTCAAAGCAAAACTAATCCCCACCCAGGTCAACTGACAGGGTCCCCCGGGAGCAAGGCGTCAAGCCGGCTTTGCAGAGGAGTTGAAAGGAAGGGCCCATGGGGCTAGAATTCCCCCGGGGGGGTGGGGAGGGTCTACACGCAGCATCACAAAACTAGGGTGAGCCCCACATTGAGGGGTCTGGTGGCTCTTGGTTGCTGCTTGGGATTTATCTTGATTCTCCGATACAAATGTTACCCCCTAAGCTGGAGACCTTGCCGGCTCTTAGTTTGCGTCAGGGGGGCCCTTCACCTTTTCGCAATGACTGGGCAGGGTTGTCGGGTAGCTACACTTGAAATAACTCACTGGAGAGGTTTGGCCCCTGGCTCCTTGCATGTTCGGATAGCAAGAGACGCAACCCACTGATCCATGGCTGCTCCTGCTAGCCAGGGTCTCTTGCCATGTGCCTCACGTCTTCAGCCTCGTCTCCACTGGCTTGTTTTGTCGCCAAAACCTGCCTTTTATTAACCAAACAGTGAGCGCGTACGCTCTACGATGCAACTTTTGTGGGGAAAACCGCCCAGTTTTGATGTCAAAACACTTCCATCCCTGCGAGAGACTTCTGCCTTTCCCCCCTCCCTTTGTTGTCGCCGAAGAGCCAGGGTGGACTCTGCTAAATACCTAAAATGTCCGGGATGTTCGGATTTTTTTCCCCCTGCCAGGAGGCGAAAATACTGGACACCTGGCAATCCTACACACACTCAGCAACGGGGCTCACCCCCCCCCCCCCCCGCGCCCGCTGCCGCGTCTGTCGGGTTTCGCCCC